CATGTGTTGAAATTACATATTGTCCAATACATATATCTTCTGGATAATGTATAATTATAGGGCAATTAATTAGATTTTAAACAAAGATTAGCTAACCTTTTCTTTTACTTCCTTATCAGACAGGACATAAAACAAAATGTAAGCTTCTTGATTGAGAGCTTMTACATCTGACACTTTAGTGACCTATAAGAAATTGACATTAATATATTAATGCTTGGCATTTGTTTATTGTCAATAAAATATAATTAAGTACATACATGTTGATCGTTCGTAGAAAACCATATGTTGTCTACTTTACAGAAACTGGAATAGTGGCCAGAATTACAGCTTTCCTCATTGTGCACAACAACACTGTTCAGAGTATATTTGCTGGCATGTTCCTATAAATAAATTATAGAACATAATATTTTATTGTCAGTTATAGTTGGCCATTTTTAGACAAAATGAGTGCATTACTCCTGCGTAATATACAAAGTATACTTGTCTAATGTTTACTAAAGAATATAATTATAAGCTTTGACTAGCATTTTGTGCCTGTGAAACATCACTAAACATGTTGCACTGTAGTGTTTCAGGATAGGCCAGTTTGGTCTTGATTTTTCCAGATCCTCCCATGGAAAATCTGCCCCAAAAAAGCTGCATTAAATTTTTACACAACCTAATTTATTAATGTTTAAGGCATTTCTGAATAGGTATAATRTAATTTACCTCTATAAATGAAGAGGAAGAACTTTAGGTAATTCTGTGACAGATAGTTTTTTCTCCACTCTTGTCAGTTGACCACACCTATGAATTCAATATGTACATCCATTATTTTGGAATCCAAGCAGGCCAAGATTTTTAAGAACACCAAAATAAGGGGAAGTCAAAAGTGCAATGAATGTACCTTGCACAAAAGAATTTATTGTTACCATCAAGTATATCTGCAGCAAAGTAAGCTTCTAAAGCATGTACCAAAGATTTGCACGTTGCCTACAAAAATAAAAATATAGTCAATATATCAACTGGCAGGTTCAACATGACTCTTTACTAGCAAAAAAAGTCGTACCGGAATGTCAATGCTACAGCCATACATTGGAGTAATACAATAGATGGTGTGGTTGCATACACTGCATTTAACTGTAAATAAAAAATAGAAATTAATATTCKGACAATTACACACAAAAAATMTTTSTGGTTACTACTGTTCTGGCATACCATTCAAATGATATTTGTCAATAATCTGTCTTACCTGAGCTAGTAATCTCTCCTCCAATGTTTAAGAGTTAAGCTGGAAATCCACTGTAGAAATGGAAAAGAGAAAGTTCAGCAGTTGAATAAAAGATAGCTGTGAACCTACAATATTGAAAAAGGTCAGGTTCACATGCATAGATTGCATTTTTTAGTAATTCTAAATGCCACTTACTTTTTTTGAGTGCAAGTTTCTATAGCTCCCATGATATTCAAAAACAGCTCRTGTGCATCTTGCTGATCAAATGATCCACCAGGCATTTTGATGAAATTCTCAGAGAKTACTGAATGCCAACCATATTAACAAATGAAGTACCGGTAGTTAATAAATATTATTAAATTCTATCAACTCATAAAGGAGATAACTAAGAGTAAATAAATATAATTTAAACAAAGTACATAAAAAATATATAAATATCAAAAAAAGATATAAAATATTTCAATATCATTCATTTATTATTATCACATTATGCATGAGTCAATAAACTGGTCTGCTCTATACTTCTCAATATAGCAATACATCAACAAGTGCTTTATTTTCTTACAACTCCACAATGCACCATCATTTATTCTTATTCCGTGTATATTAAAGCTTCCTTTACATGACTCTCATAATGATAAAATAATAATAATAATTTTATTTTAATTTTAGTGACTAATTATCCTACAAAGTGTACCTTGTAATATGTCAACGATATAACTAGGGACAATAATACCATTATTGCCACCACACACATTGAGCTCAAGTTCTTTGAGGGCACAGACAATGCAAAATCCATCTCCATGATCTGGAAATTGATTGGAAAAAAACATATTACACATGCACACTTTAATGTCTATGAATCCAAATATAGTTGATTGTAGGTCTTCCCGTGTTTTCCTTCAACTGCATGTTCTTTGATGAAGGTCATGAGAGGTTTGTTGTACACAATACACTGCAAAATGCAGTTTACAAAACACGTATTTCCTAGATTTTTGAGTCCTGGTTTCAAAAGATCCATTTCAAAAAGGAAATAAGAAAAAAAACGCTAAAGTCAGAGAACTGAAAACTTTTGTACGACTTCTTCGATTTTCCCGCGAAAGAGAACTTACATGACGTGGAATACAGGCATTATAAGCATCCAGTCTTTTTCTTCATAACAATACCCAGGGAAACCAAGGGCAGAATAGTTGTGCTTTGCACAGATGCTGCTTTTTCATGAGATAATCGTTACATTTCCAGTTATTGAAAATGAGGTTAAAGACGTAAAAAAGACATTTCCAAACTGCCGGGTAAGTAGAACTCTGAAGTGGTTCCCGTGAGGTGAGTTGCGTGACGTGACAAGGAGATTTTTGTCGATTATATTACCGCACTACTTTATAATGTGATTATCAAAGAAAATAAGAGAAGATACTAAAGAATTGTAGAATTTCCAGGCAGGTTCTCGACAGCCGGGTATCTAGTATATTGAAAATCGTTCCCGGGACCTTGTTTACTAGTGTGAAATTTTTCTGAGTGCCACAACTTGGACGCCGTGTATATAGTATGGTGAGACTCGGCGAATGCATATTCGTCAAATGTCTAAGGATTCTAAGAAGCGCTTTGCTATCCTAAACAAAGTTAGAAGACTTTGAATCCATGAAAGTTATTATTAACGGGGATTTTTAATAAAAACTAAAAACTCCCGGGTATCTAGTATTTTGAAAATCGTTCCCGGGACCTTGTTTACTAGTGTGAAATCTTTCTAAGTGCCACAACTTGGACGCCGTGTATATAGTATGGCGAGACTCGGCGAATGCACATTCATCAAATGTCTAAGGATTCTAAGAAGCGCTTTGCTATCCTAAACAAAGTTAGAAGACTTTGAATCCATGAAAGTTATTATTAGCGGGGATTTTTGATAAAAATTAAAAACTCCTGGGTATCTAGTATTTTGAAAATTTTTTTAATCAAAATGTATTTTGATTAATTACTTCGCTCTCCGTAAAAGTTGAAGCAAAATTCTTAAAATAACCATTATTATTCATCGTTGGGTCTTATTTTTATCATTTAATTCTGATCAAGATGCTATTTTAAAAGGTTTTCTGGTATTTTAATTTTGATTTTGTATCATAAGAGTAATTGATAAGGCCAAGCATGGGCTGTAGGAGAATATTATTTGGTTTGCAACAGGGAAAATGTTTGCTTTACGATTGTTTCGCCTACGCATTGGTTCGCCTACTGAAGTTCGCCTACATTTAAGCTTTGCCTACTGAAGTTCGCCTACGTATCAAATGCATTGTAAAACCTATCTATGAAGGGCGAGACAATAAATATACTGTAAAAAAAGGAAAAAAATAGTTCTCGTGTAAAGAATAAAACTTTTACACATGAATAGCAAGGCAAACAAAGTAAGAGAAACACTGAAAACTTTAGACGCGAACGAGTAACTGGCAAGCGTTGTGTGAYAACACCGTAAAGCAAGAAAAGTCGTGAAACCTATCTTAAACCAGTGTGACACATAAAATATATAAAAAAGGTAAAACAAAGCGACTGCTGTTGAGTAAAGTAAGAGAAACGTTACGAATGAGTCAAGAACTTCCGAGATGGGAACGAGCTGTGAACGATCGTTGTGACAACAAAAGCCTAACGACTTGTCAAGTGAAAGCCGTAAATATCAAATTTCATGAAAAAATCTTTGCTTACTTACCAATATCTTTATTAAAAACGCATCTTTTATCGCTAAGAACTTTTTTTATAAGTATGAAGGTGATTAAAGTAAGAGAAACGTTACGAATGAGTCAAGAACTTCCGAGATGTGAATGAGTTGACAAGTCGTTACGCTGTTGTTGTCACAAAACAACTCGTTCGCATCTCAGACGTTTTGACTCATTTGTAACGTTTCTCTTTCTTTGATCACCTTCATACTTTATGGAAAAAAATTATTAACGATAAAAGATTAAAAAAAAAAAATAAAGATATTGATAAGTAAGCAAATACTTTTTTATGGAATCTGATAGTTTACGGCTTTCACTTTGACAAGTCGTTACGCTTTTGTTGTCACACAACAACTCGTTCCCATCTCGGAAGTTCTTGACTCATTCGAAACGTTTTCTCTTACTATACTCGACGGCAGTCGCTTTGTTTTACTTTTTTAAATATGTTTACTGTGTCACACTYGTTTAAGATAGGCTTCACGACTTTTCTTATGAGTTGGCGAACTTTTTTCAATATTTTTTCATGAGTTTGATAGGTAGCATCTGATAGTTTGCCTTTTTGCTGTTGTTGTCACACTTCTGAAGTACTTGACTCATTCGTATTAATGTTTCTCTCTCTTATATCATCTTCATACTTAAATAAACTTTGTTAGAGGTAAAAGATGTGTTTTTTTATGAAGACTTTGGTAAGCAAAGCAGATGAAATCTTAGTAATACTCTTGTTGCCACTCAACACTTTTCTAGCGTTCTTGACTACTACTCACGATTTTTCTGTTGATTAGTTTGCCTTGAGATTTTCATAAACTTTCTTGAAGATAGAGATGTCTGCCTTTTTGACCATTAAAGTTTTCCTCTTTTTTCATCTAATGCTTATACTTATGAATCAGTGCCAGTGTAATACGTAGGCGAACTTCAGTAGGCAAAACTTAAACGTAGGCAAACTTCAGTAGGCGAACCAATGCGTAGGCAAAACAATCGGATACCGTTMGGTGGAAGGTCGACCAAGGGCCTAAGTGGCGGCAAACGTCGAAACCAATGTCGATCTTAATTCACTCACCCATTGTTATTGTAATTTTAATTGGACATGAAAATGCACGGGGGAACGCACGGACACTTGTTTGTCTTTTCCTGATTAATGCATATCCTTGCGATGGCGAAGTATAGCGCTCGACCACAATTAAAACGGGCATTTATTTATATGAATGCAGTACTACAAAACAGAAAACGGAGAACGGCATCGCACTCTGCACTTTTTGCCCGTTTTTCATCTTTTTTGTCTTTCTCGCAGCATTCACAATACTTAACGCTTCTGCCCGCCTGGCTCATTATCGTTGCTCTCGAATACAGCACATTTATTGCAGGTCGGCATCTCACAAACCAGGCAAACATATTTCGTTTGGTCAAAACAAAAACTATAAGACTCAAGAGTCTCGTTTCGTGGCAAGAATTTTCTAAACATGGACATGTTCAGTTTGAGTAGTTTTGAATTTATTTTCGTATCCAGAGCTCCTGGGTCTCTTTCGTCACTCATCTTCGTATAGCGCATGCTCACCAGGGGGGAGAGTGAGTGTTTGGGAGGTGGGGGAGTGCTTGTTTTCACGGCTTTGGTGTAAGTCATGCGACTTGCATGATTGATTTGCTATTTTGCATAATTTATGAATTTAGTTTGACACGTGTTGAAAACGGCCGCAAAGTCATTCCAGAGTCGTAATGTCCGACTTGGCTTGTCGAACTTATGATTGACTCGAACCTATTCAATAGAATCGTTCTCAATTGCAGCAAACGTCATACTAGGCTTGAGCCTATTTCAAATGTAATAGGTTCGACTAAATTAAGCTCATGCTTAGTTCCACGTTTGCCCTGGGCCTTAAAGTAAGATCCAATCCTTGTTTCAAGAAAGGGGSTATTAAATCAAGATTGCAGCTCATTTTCATTTCTGTCTTATAACTAGCCAATATATTCTTGATTTTAGATTATGACTTGTTTTTAGCACCTCTTCATTCAAAGCAAATGGTCTTTTAAATTAAGATAGTGAATTCTTAATCCAAGCAAATTAAATTTGTTTGATTAAATCAAACAAATTTAATACAGCAAAACACATTGCATCCTTAGTTCAAACTTTACAACAATAACGAACTGGAAGAAACATGCTGACAGTTCATAAGAAAGCTAATATACATAGTGCCCATACA